ACCAGACTACACAGCGCAACAACCCAGAAGACAGAAATCTTCTTATTTTTCTCTCTGTCTACACTTGATATTAAGCAGAATTAGTATAACTATAATCCTCAACCCCAAAGATGGAAAAATTTTAGGATTTCGGTGTCAGTGTTAAGTGACTCCCTTGTTGCCACGGTGTGTTCTCAGATTGCATACTGAAGGCAGATGCAAATATACTGAGTGAGTAATCATGTACAGCTAATGGGTGATGCAGTATGGAGTTTGGTTACGGTGCTGACAACCCCGTCACTGTAAAAAATTAGCATGGTACAAAATATTCCAGGGCCTAGGATTTGGGTAAACTGGAATAACCTAAGCAAAGAATGTAGCAGTGGTGAACAGTTATATTCTATAAGACCATACAGAATAAAACCTGGAACATTCACCTCCAGTACACATTAAACCTAATGAAGGAGAAAATGGAAATCTTCATGCAGAACATGAAGTTTTCCTTAACCAAAACAGTTAACAGGCTCATAAATTTCATGCAGAACATGAAGTTTGCCGTAACCAAAACAGTTAACAGGCTCATAAAGATCATGAACATGTGACCATTAACACTGGACTGATTATCTTGGATATGACCTCATACTAGTGACATTTGGCTATTGGTCAATTATACTGGGCCTAACATAGTGACCTGGGTTATGTGTCCAGTGACTGGAATGTTGGGCCGGTGGGTCTGGTGGCACTGAACCTGCAGATATTGTCCTTGGAACTGGGCCTCAAGTTGTCATAAATGCATGTTGATCTTCGTGTAAAATGAAATTTTAGTAAAACTCTCCAGTATTAATTTGCATGGAAATCCATTTTTGAGCTGTGAACTGCATGTGGATGGACGGAGATTTTTAATAGGCACTCCACAGAGATGTGAATATGCCAAAATATGATTGTTGTAGTGCAAAACTGGGGCTCGAATGTAATGTGGAAGTACATAGACCATACAAAAAAAGGATATTACTAATGCACTGTAAAATTTTCACAGGGAAGTAATTTGAAGATTTTTGCAGTTATAAAGCAGTGTCCATATTTCCTATGCCTGTCATTTAAATTTTAAATACCTTTGAAAACTGGCTTGATAGGACGACACTGCCCTCATATGATGTGACAGCCACAGGTTTTGAAAGACCGTGATTTGATTCAGGTAAAATGTGAAGACAGCAACAAATTACTGTACCTCTGGCACCTCCTAGTGTTGCAAGGTAGAAGGCCTCATGATATGTGAGTGGGGCATAATCTTCACCCTTTCCGAAGGAAACGTGGATTGAGACATCCAGTGTGTTGCGTATGGTGTTCAAGATAGAGAGGCTGTATCCACCTGATACATCTGAAACAAGTGCACAGAAGTTACAAGTCACCATCCTGTGCCTTTGGATACAAATTAAGATCTTACCGTCTCCTATTTACACTTCAGAATGGTTATGTCTGTATCATTTGTGGGTGAATAAAAGTCACCCAAGACAAATATCGAATGCCATATCACTTAATATTTTCAAATGAAATGCTGATTTCAAATTAAAAATGTGCTTTAACTGAAAGTATTCTTTGTGCAATGCAAAAAGAAAAAAAGAGTTGCCTGTCCATCTGTCATGGATTTCAGTGTCTAAACTCTTATTAGATTTTGATCATATTTTATATCAGAAATAATTATGAAACTTTGTAAGGAATAAGAATTTTGGCATTGTTTTCTTTACCAGATATTATTAAGATAATGTGAATGATAGCAGTGACATAACACATCTGTTCAGGTGCTCCATTCAAGAATACGCAACCTACCTGTACCCAGCCCAACCTTGATGCCGGCATTCAGCAATCTACGAACGTCACAGAGGCCACTCTTGAGTGAAGTATTTGAGTTTGGACAATGTGAAATGGCTGTACCGCGAGCAGCCAGAACTTTCAGTTCATCATCACTGAGATGTACGCCATGGGCTAACACTGTCTGCAACATATCAGCACAGTATAATTCTGCAGTGTCTTTGGATTCCTACAGATGTTTGTTGTCATAAAATCTGAGGTTTCCACAGCAGTGAAGATGCCTCAATTTTCAGTCCTGAAGATGGAGGCAGTATGTTCCTCCAAAATGATAATACCGATCTACATATCTACACAGTGTCACGACCGAGAAGACCAACATCAGCATGTTACCATCAGGTACCCATTTCTGTATTAAACAGTTCAGAGACTTTCTGAGAATCGCTTACCTTGTTTGTGAGAAGTCTGGCTTTGTCATAGACATCAGCATAGCTGGTGCAATCATGGAACGACTCTTTCACGGCTGAAACCTCGTGTACATTCTCGGAGATGTGGGTCTGAAGCAATTTATTATCAGAATCAAGTTTCCATATTTAAGTCAGACATACTTTCTATGTAGAGGCTACTAAATGTATTTTAACCCATCGTATTGAGTTTACGGTTTCAGCAGACCAGATGTGTTTCTGATATCCATGTTGCTGGGCACATATAAAATAGCATTTGTGAAACAATATATGAAGAAGTAGTAACGTTATGTAATAAAATGTTACCTGGATATGCAGATCATAGCGTGAAGCTAGTTCACCCAGCATCTTCATAAGCTCCATGTCACAACTCAGTGCAAATCGTGGCGTTATGATGGGTAGTATCAGATCATTCTGAAATGTAAGTAAAGGTAAGTTACAAACATGCAAAGCATCTGACTGTCCTCGGAGACCTTGGCACTAGAGAAGGAGATTAGTGGTCCTGGTACCTGTTTTACAGAAAACTGGCTGGGCTGCAATGCTGTTCTGTAATATCATTACCAGGGTTTAAGCATAGCTGTTCGCAGTTAATGTACTACCAAATTATCACAGCTGTTCACTGTGTAGCGAAAGTAATCTCACCTTCTTATCTTTAAGCTGGATGATGAAGTCTTCTGTCAATTTATATGAGTCTTCTGTTCTTTCGCCATAACCGTCAGGAGTGTTCCAGTTCATATTCTGATCAGCTGCAATATTTGCCAACAGAACTGTGCTGTTGAAGTGAATTGTTGCAAAATACATTGCTGTTGTGGTACCATTAGCCAGGGTGTTCTTCTGTAAATTATTAAGTCAGATACAGCCAGAAGGACATGAAGAAGTATGTGGTACAGTCAGAGTTCTGATGCCTTTAAAAACTTCAATTCATCTGGCTCAGGTTAGGATTAAATGGCAGGCCCTTATGGACATGATATCAACCTTTGGGTTCATAAAATATAGACAATTTTTAGACTAGCTAATTAGCTTTTGAAGAATTACTCTGTTCCGTGGTGGTACTGTAATTATAAACATCTGTTTATTGCAAATCTCTCAAGTACATCTGTGGCTCAAGAATTTACTTTGGTTACTTTGCCTGTCATATGTTCTGCATGCTACAAACATCTAATCCTGAGATGACAAAACAGTGTTTTCTGTAAGTACATAACTTACAACATATTAACATCCGTTTCATAAACTCTTCAAATAGAAGTTGATACAAGTAAATGTTACAAGAAAATGAGGTGGCCTAAATATGTTTGTTGGTTTGAGTCTAAAACACCCTTTAACATACTACTTTTAAAATCAAATGACTGAAATGAAGAAGGGAAAATACAAAGCAGAATATGGTTTCATCTCTCTGGCAAAAACATGGAGCATTTTGAATGCATATTGTTTTACAAGCTGCTCATCAAAGTATGACATATCCATCCGTGACAGATCATCTCATAAAAATAGTAACAAGCTGTTGGAAAGCCAATGGGATTTGAAGAGTCGACGAAACCAGACCCATCTGGTAGCAAGGAGGAAAACTACACTCATGAATGAGAGAGGGGAAAAAGATTCTGGTGAAACTTTTAACAAGCCAATTCTATTATGAGATATCAAACTAATACATGGGCAGGATGGCAAGCAGAAATTTGCTCAAATTTTTCCATAAAATTCACTGTACAAGAGCACATTAAAGAGACAGCAAATGATATTGAAGAGTAACTTGTGAATGATCCTCAATCATCAATGTCTGTAATACAGCATGATCAAATGAGTGGTACAGTACAATGTCCACAGTTACTGGCTGTATGTCCACTTCATATTTGATGAAGCAAATAGAAAAAAATGTTATTTTTCTGACTACAGCTGTTGTAGATGTGCACAGAATGTAGTGATAATGGCTTACAGAAAATAATATTCCACTAAAAGGTTGTATTAATTCTGTTTTATAGCAACTTTTCCAGCCACTGAAACAGCATACTGGTATATATCTTTTATTCAGACAGTTAAAAATGTCCATAGAAAATATAAAAACCTTTATAATCATAAACAAAACTCAAAACGTGTTCTCTTTGGAGTATATGAAGTGCCAAAGGTGTCCTTTATTGCTTAATATTATGTGCTTAGAATCTAGATTACTCACCACAACAGCTTCATACACCTTTTCAGCAAAACTTAAATCAGAGTACTTCATTTCGAGAGGAAAAGTGTAAGTTGTAAGCCAGTCCAACAGCTGCATATCATAGCCAAGGCCAGCATTAGGATACTGAGATGCATGAATATGTGTATCAATAAAACCTGGCATTACAAACTCTCCATCTCCAAGATGATACACAAAGTCATCTGTAATTGAATATTTTTCTTGAATCTGAGCCACGTTTGCAGTTTCTTCCACGGCTACAATCTACAAACAGACATGGTAATGAAAACCATGAATCCCCAGTCAAGGTAACCGGTATCGTTCTGAATATACAAAGCCATAATGGTTGAGTTGTCAACCTCAATTGGCAGTTGCAAGAAATTTTGAAAGTAACTTTGTAATTAACTTAATTGATGTTATTAAATGTAAATACATCTTAAATAACTATACTGTGGCAAATGTCAGTGATTTGCTGTGGGTTCTTTAAACTGGATTTATGGGATAGCTCAGTCAGTATAGTGACTAGCTACGGGCTGGACGACCCGGGTTCGATCCCCGACGGGGGCAGAGGATTTTTCCTCTAGCCTCTGCGTCCAGACTGGCTCTGGGGCCCACCCCGCCTCCTCTACAATGGGTACCAGGGTCCTTTCCCGGGGGTAAAACCGGCCGGGGCGTGATGCTGACCACTCACCCCCATCTAGTGCCGAGGTCAAGGAAGAGAGGAGCTATACCTCCACTCACCCCAAACGCCTACATGGCGTATAGCGGGACAAACTTTACTTTTTACTTTTATTATTACAATTAATCATTTTTTTCTGAAATGTAGTCTGTTGGTCTATGAATCACAGTTTTGTTAATGATGTCCAGACTTCACGCCTGTTAACTGTGCCACTCCACAACAATCAGGCTTACAGCTCGCTTGACACTCCGTTCTCGACTCGGTCTCAGCACTTCTATGCTTTAACTCCTTCACTGACAGCTTACAGATTTGCTCACAGAAACTAGCCTTAAACAGGTTCTGTTCCCATTCAAGAAAGTCCTACATTACTCCATAACATTCTAGAAGCCACAAGATATTCTAGTACATACAACAGGTTCTGAGAAATGAGTGGTGTGTGCCCATAGTCTTCCAGCTGCTAGGAGTGAAGTAATTACCACTGGCTAAGCATGCAACATGACATATAATGTACATAAAATAGATTAACTGTTTTATTCATATGAATATTCTGATATAATATAATATAATTAAACCTCAGTTAAGTGACAATTCATGACAACTGTTAAAAAGTACAGGCTGCAAAGCCCGGGAGAGGAAGTCACAACACCATTAATTTCTATTATTGTCCATTTGCATCAGTGTAGTACTCACTGCTCAGAGAATATTTCTACTAACATTAAGCTCTGCAGACTGTGGTCATTTGTGTCACTAACTTCTGTTTGTATTTAACATGGATTTCTGTACTGTACGTGGCTGCCTGATCTTGTCTGACTTCTTAAACTGAATTATATTTCTATATTTTTTAAGAGGTGACTCCTTCCAGATGCTCCCCCCCATAAAAAAAAATTGTCTTGGTCCATTATAAAATTAACTTTGAAACAGTTAACAGAAAATATTTGGGAGCCCCAAATTTTTAAAACTACAAACACCAAACCTCAAAAATTAGCCACCCATCCCTTTGTAGACTGATTAAGAGATTTCACACTTTAAAAATGTGTTTAAGGACCTGTACTTACCTTGCCATCTGATACAGCAATTAGTCCAAGATCAAAGACAGTAAGTCGTGTAATCTCCTTGGAATGCACAATTGGACCAACAATAATGAAAGATCTGTTGTACATTTTCTGTAAAAATACCAAGATTACATGGGCACATTATCCATCATGGCTTAGGGGAAGGACAGTAGCAGGCATGTATAGTGAAAGGAGAAATTAAAATATCTAAATGAACAATAAACCTTACACACATGCACATATACATAATGCACACACATAATATAACATAATTAATTTTGCAACTGGAAAATGTTATTTTAACTCCAGTACATATGCAAATTTAAAAACTTCATGAAACCTTTAAGAGATACTCACACAACCCTCAGGATGTCGAGAACCTTTACTAAAATTTACTTTACAAGTTTTATGTACATAATTGACCAATAAAATAAAGAAACTTGTTTCTTCCAGGAGGTGTATGTGTTTTAACGTTACTGTACTTTGTTCTCTTTGTCAACCTACAATAGAAGAATGCTGTAAAGGAATGCACAGATATGTGAAGTAACTTTGCCATTGCAGAAGTGCATTCTTTTCTAACATCAGTCTCCACTTCATAAGACGTATTTCTCTCTCCCTAACACTGTTAATTCCGCGAATATTCGATAGATGTAATTTCTCTGCCCATTCAGCATACTGTGGAAATATGCAAGTACATTACCATTTGCATAATTTACAGAGTCCTAGTTTTTGGCAACCCTTCTTAAATTAATTTGTGACACTGAACAATTCTCAGTTTTCTTCTTCTTTGATCAAGTTCATTAATTCCACGTAAAATATACACAAGTGTTAATAATCAAACAACAATTTTGATATCTGTCTTCTCGGTTGCAGCACCACCTTGTCTGGTAGAAGTTAACCAACATTTCAGAGGTCCTTGCTGCCTCCATCATCAGGGTGCTGCAACCCAGAAGACAGTCATCTTCATACTCACCACCATGGAAACTTCAAATCCTAGTAAATAACAAATAGTATGTGCATGCAAAGCTGTGTATCTCATTTGTACATTTAGTGAATTGATTCTTTCTTTAATATCTTTGTATTTATTGTCAACATTTGTACTGACGCTGGCAGCTGAACATTACCTTCTGTGAATCTTGACTCATGATGAATGCCAGGGCTTCAAGGAACCTCTCCTGTAGAATAAATTTTCAATGACACAATATACAAAAGAATCTTACTGGTAAGCTAGCTGTAATCTGAAAGTAACATAACAGTCTGTATGTGGAAAGTATGTATGATTCTGTAGTTTCCATATAACATAGAGGATGATTAAAAAGTCATGAAACCCATATTAAAATACTTATTGATGGTTACAATTCAATGTATTTTGAATGAAATAATAAACACACATATTGCTATTATTATGCAAGAGATCACACTGTGTTGTAACCTGCTTCCACCAATCCATCAGTTGTATTTCGACAGTCAAGGTGCAAGCAAAGACTGTTCATTGTTGAAAACTACCTGGCATCTCTTTCTTACTTAACTTGCCAAAATGAGTTTAGGAACACATATCCTGATTATCCTGTGCAAAACAAATTGACAATATCTCATCTGGTGAACCATCTCTGTGACATAGTATCTCTTCACCAAGATGCATCAAATATGACAAAAAAAGTGAATGCATGCATCGCTGAACATGATGGACATTTCCAACACTTAATATAACATTGATTTCTGATTTTTGTGTAATTTAATTTTTAACAAATAGATCACATGTCAGGAATGGGTTGCTGCCTCCATCACCAGGCTGCAAGGACCACTGAAACGTTGGTAAACTTCTACTAAACTACACGGCGCTACAATCCAGAAAACTGCCATCTTCAAACTCACCGCCGTGAATACCTCAGATCTTACACATGTTCATGTTGGTATGCGTGTCCTACGTTGCGAAGTCTAAAAGAGAAGATCTATAATGGCGGCCGGAGTGTGTTGTAGTTGTCATTTGATCCATGTCCCATGGTTACATGCAGGCTTGAGACACAGTGGACAAGAAACAGGAATTAAACTTTAAATGGATCGGGTAAGTCGGGGAATTCACTAGTGCACGTGTACAACTGGCAACGTGTATTCTACGAGAATTATTCGTGTCATGAACAGATAAGAGAAACACTAGAGAGAGTAGAGTAGAGTAAAATTAGGTTATCGTTTATTGATTAACAAATACAGCAACTTTACCTTTTAAATTTGGCCGTATGCTGCTCACTGCCTCACATTAATACTTGATTAAGAACCACTTTAAAACAAGGCAGCACAATAGCCACATGCTCTTGTGGCAATCACGTGACATACCTCCTTATCACTTGTCCTTGGAGCTAACCCCAAAATCCGGCCTAACCGCAGTAGCAATAAATAACGTTAGAAATTTGAGAGCAGTCTGATGGCAGTTTTCATAAACTGAAATTGTTTCAGATTATGTTTCTAGAAACATTGATAGGATAGTGAAGCATATTACAAAGGGACACAATAGAAAGTTAATTTGTTAGGTTGTCTGCTCAAGCATTTGATATATGAAGTAATGAGTGACATACACAACTTTTTGAGGATATCAAATACAGATTTTAATGGGGTTTAATAAGGATTAAAATATGTTCTGTTCATGCAATTTCCGATTGCAATGACTGTTAAAAAATGTCAGATTTTGTTGTGTGGCAGACAGGAGAGAAGCAAGTTTTGGAAATGTATGTATGAATCCTTACAGATATAAAATAATCACCAATATACAGGCTTAATATATGTAAAATAAATAAAATTACTGCATTTTCATATTTATCCTGCTGAGCTAATTTTCTTCTCTATTTTCTATTGTGTGGGTTCACCCCCTGTCACTTGAAATTTGTAAAGCAGAAAATTGGCTCTTCTGATTCTGAGTGTGTTCCATGACCTGGTATAAGTTGATGCTATGGGAGTTGTGATACATGAATGATAAATGGTTGTTTTGAAATACTGTAATTTGCAATTAGTGTAGTTAAAATAAATGGGTATATGGTTTCAGTAGCATGCATAGGCTATGGTATGATTGTGGTAACTGATGGTTTGTGGTATTAGTTGATTCTTGCCATATATTTATATAATTATACTTTTATTTTACTTTATAATATTGCCTTTGTCTACAAGGTATTTTATGGAAGAAAAGTTTGGATTGATTGTTCCCTTCAACAGTGATAAGAGTTAACCATCTTGAATCTTGTACCATGTAGGGTTGTAATACCGGAGACTGACAGTGAGAAAGGAGATCCTGGTTAGTAACGTAAGCCATTGGAGGACCAGCTTATATACAGTAGAAGAACTGTGTATAGGAAGTGAAACTGACACATTCTGCTATGTGCATTGTTGATAAAAATTCTGCAGGTGTTAATTAGCCAATCAATAAGCTGTAGTAGTGCTAAGAAGAATGTGGCAGAAGCAAGAAATAGAGCTTCAGAAACAGAAGTTAAAACTCAGAAAGTGAAGAAATTGATGACATTTAATTTCTTGAGTAGTGAATACCCCAGCTTATTACTTTGAGCCATGTGACAAACCCATTTAACTATTTAATACTGCTCGTGAATGTACTGCTCCCAGAGATTGTGAGCTGTTTAATAAACCTCCTACCTGAGGATATGCCACTGCATCCAAAGTTGAATTTTCAGGCCCCCTTTGTTAACCTCTGTTACTGGCAAGTAAAAGTTGCCCTGCTCTTGGTGCATAACTAACACTAATGAAGCAGACATTTGGGTGGGGGGGAGTAGAGGTGTGTCTGTGCCATTCATAATTTTGGAGCACTAGAAATGAGTGGTCAGCTCCATGCCCCTGAGGAAAGAACTCTGTGACTGATTGGATAGGCAGTTGTATGGACCCACAAGTTCCTCTTGAATATGTGAGTAAGAGGAAGGTCCTGTCCTGCCAGGAATATGGTCCAGTCATCCAGTCTGTAGCCTGATTACTACCTTGGCTTCTACTGCTGCTGATACTATCAATTTCAATAGCATATGATTCCAGTGAGAGAATCCATGCTGAATAGAATGTCTCAAAAGCAATGTTTAATTTCTGATTTCTGTGGTGTAACAGCCCTCCGAGAGCCAAAGCCGACTAGCTGGCTACTGGCCTCACGTTCACATGCCTAAGCAGAGGTGAACGATCATCGAACCAGATATAAGGTGACGTGTGGTCAGCAGGATGAACCCCCAGCCATTGCTAGTTTTCATGATCGGATTACGCTACCCATCGTAGCTCCCCAATTTCCTCACGATGCTGGGTTGGCACCGGTACCATACATCGGTCGAAAATCTCATGAGAAATTCTTTCCCCGAGGCTCGAACCAGTGCGCATTCCGTATCACCAGTCCGAAGCATGATGCCTCAGACCGTGCGGCTACGGCGCAGGACAATTTCTGATTTGATACTAATTTTTTCCTGTTTTTTCTATTAATGCTGACCTGTGTTGGTGTGAATAACTGAAACGTAATGTTCTAATTATTTCTTATGTGTAATATGAATTTCTTTTTGTCATATCCAAATGTTTGGACTTTGTCACAGTGATTTATTAGGGATCTTTATATTGCCATGTTATTCTGCAGTCTGCTGAAAAGATGCAAATACATATTTAGTTTTTCCTTGTTTATTTATAGACCAGCATGGTCTTACTGGCAATTCACAGGTCATATCTGGCATAAGATGAATTGTAACCAGACCTGTAAAATTGTTACTAATTGCTACAAGCTCATATATTTTCTTTTCTCCAAAGGATTTGTTTTAAAAAAAGTTATTCTTATCTCATCTGCTGCTTTATGTACAAGTGCCATGCAGTACTTTTCATTTCTAAAATAAAAAGTTTTGAGACTCTGGACGTCTGAGGTCCACTCATGACTATACTTGAGATTCAAAGAGATTTGTTTTACGCTTTATATTGTTCAACTTTAGAGATGGGCCGACCAGTTGAGCTTTACTGGAGTGTTCAGCAATTCATCTTCCTTTCCTCATCAAAAGACATTTAGGTACCATCAATTTGTATATGTGATTCCAGAGCACTCTATACAAATTCATTGATTTTTGTTTGTTTCAGATGGTGTTTGAATTGCCCATATGGTTCATATACTGAGTGTGTGTCCACGCTCAAAATTACTGGCAAAGGACTTCATGTACTCTAGCTTCCAGATATAGGAATATAAATTAAACAGAGGTATGTTTAACAATTTTAATGTTTTATTTTTTAAAAAATATACATAAAACATTTTAATCAAAATATGAACAAATTTCTTACCTATAGTACCACTAACGAAAGTATTTAAATTTTGTTAGTAATTAGGTGCACTTACAAAAGTTATACACAAAAATGATAACTATATGAATTTAATTCAGTATCTTTTTTTGTATCACAGTAAAGTTCTGATAGGGTTACAATACAGTACTATATATGTGTGTGTGTGTCAGAAGATTCCTCACAGTAATGGTTCTGCTATGACAGATCTAGCTGTAAGCTTACAGGCAGCTAGGACAAACATTAAATAAGACTCATATTACCTGACACATATGCTAATTAAACAATTAACTGTGTAACCTGCATACCGAATAAATGAAACATGCATACATATCATATACGGGGAAGTTTAAATTGATGACCTATCAATCCTATGTATAAAATACTGGAGAGGAAATGTCAGTGGATGTTGATAACTGTATGCTATTTATATTACTGTACATGAATACTTACCGACACAGATAAACTGCAGTAGCTACTCACTACTACTTGTCTCTCTTCTTCCAATAAAGAATGGACGATGCTGCGTTTGATCATGACATTTCAGACTAATAATTTGAATAGTATCTGGTGAATTTGGCAGAGCTAATAACCTTACCATGAAATGTTTTGATACGATGTGCATGGAAACAATAGAATAGAAATGGAAAGACATATGTTGCCATTTTGGCAGGGTTTTTTATGCCTGAGCGTGAAGCTGGATCGTGTGCTTCACTGTCACTATCAAAACTTCCAAATAATAGGTGATAACAAATAACTCATTTAATTGCCTATAAATTATAAAATACATTAAATTACTATGGAGTATGATATTTCAGAGACGAAATGTACAGGCTGGTATCAGTGCATATATGTCTTACCAAAAATGGTATCACAGTATAGTAAGTTAAACACATCTGCATTAATGAGATTAAAGATTAATGAACAAGACAATGGAATGACCTTAACTGTCTGGACTGCATGAAGAGGACATGTCATAAAAAAAGATTAAAATTTGCACATATGACAGAAGCAGTAAATTAGATATTAAAACCCTCACCAGTGCATAAACATAGTGAACTAAACATTTATTATAGAAAAGTGTAGGCTAAACCAGCGTTGGCATATGAAAGAGAAGCCCAAATTATTTAAAAATCAGATGAAAAGAGGTTAACAGTATCAGTTTCACAAATGATAAAGGTTTAACATGAAAATGTTAAAATGTGAGATTCGAGGTTCTCATGGTGGTGATTTGATTTTTCTGTAATCTTTGCAGCCTCTATCTGTGCTGCAGCTAGTATCACTACTACCACTTAAATTTACTCTCCACATTTATATTCTAATTGCGTGACATCTGAATATTAAAAAAAATACTGGGTAAAACTTCACCGAGTATAGTGTTTTTTCAAGCTCATTTAGCTGCCTGATAAGTGAGACTAGAACACTTATGATGAGTCTTATACAAATGCAATAAATACTCTTGTTATGGCAGAGTAAAGACAGGCAAGCCATTGGCTAGGATAAGACAGGATTCAATTGAAGATGGTCTGTTGATGAGTGATCATGGTTTCGAGAGCAGATATTTCATACGTCATGCCAGGCAGGCCACCACATTTAGTCAGATCAGGTGCAGGCATCAGTGTTGGTGCAAATACAGTGCTCAGATTATGAGCAGTCATTTTGTTTGTGCTCTGCTGCTGAATTACCCTGGTGACAAAAGAGTATACATAATTTATTTTTTGATGTCACGCCTTTGGCAAACCAGTTTACAGCTACATCATTAGTCTCTTGCTGGCAGTACACCAACATCAGCTGCCAGAGGATGCCATATAGAATGTTCCTTTCACTCATGATATTAACTGATGTTAAGATAATGAATTACAATATTCCATTAACAGTTTTAACTTAATGTAATACGAGGCGCGTCCACAAAGTAAGTTTCCCACTCGTCCCACAGCTAGCAAACCTTATATTGCGCGAAGCGACTGTGCGTACGTGATAGAGCAATGACGTAGCATGGCGCATGCACTAACGGCACTTCCCGCGTTCTCACAGTAGCATCGTTGCAGCTGTTGAAGAGGGAGGTTCTTATTCCAGCTCCCGCCGACTGTGAAGTGCGGTCAGTGATAACGCTAGGCCGCACACGGCTCGACAGACAGCGAGTCTCCTGCAGGAGTTCAGCTGGGAGGTGTTTAATCATCCACCCTACAGCCCGGACCTCGCTCCCAGTGATTTCCATCTTTTCCTACACCTCAAGAAATTCCTGTCCGGTCAGCGTCAGCGTCAGCGTTTTGAGAATGACAGAGAGGCGGAGATGGCTGTCACACAGTGGTTCCAATCCCAGGCGGCAGACTTCTACGACACAGGTATTCAAAAGTTGGTCCCACGGTATGACAAATGTCTCAATTCCGGTGGCGAATATGTTGAAAAATAGCTGGACTCTTGCTGTATCTGTTGCAATAAATATTTCCATGAAATTGTGTTTTGTTTCTGTAAACGACCCCAGGGAAACTTACTTTGTGGACGAGCCTCGTACATACAGTGATGTATGAAGAGCATCAGTTGTAAGGTCAATGCTAAGCCCATACTGACAAAGCAGAATATCAAAATGCCAATGTAATTCAATTTCAGATTCAAACACTAAATTTTATATGCCATCTATATATAGATAAGCCTGTACTAAAATTCTTCTACACCACGTCACAGCCGAGTGGTTAGCACTCCTGCTTCGTATTCAGGAGGTCCAGATTCCATCCACGGAGTAAATTGTCTAGTGATATACATTGAGGACCAGAATGCATGAATGCCAGTCATGGATCCTGCTAAATGTATTGTTTCTTTCACAGCTGTCCTTTTTGGCACAGATACTTGTTACACAAAGTGTACTAACCTGTTCAAGTGTTCCATTAGGTATTTTAGTGTATTATAATGTGCTGCTGGAAGGAGTGTCAGAGCATCTTTGATTCCTACAATCTGTTTCTCGATAGATTTCAACTCTGCAATACATACAAATTACGAACCGTTTACCAACAAAACACAGCATGACATATCTCCATATATACAAATAAAACTTTGGAGGAGTGCGCTACCTCTCCTGTGTTCCAAAAATAAAGTGTGGAACAGTCTCGTACCCCTTCTACAGTATTTACGAACTACGGAAGAAATCCTAAGTTACATATTCATACTAGCTTTGTCAATTTGAGTAATAGTGAATCCTGAATGTTTCATCAAAAATGTGGAAAAATCTACTAAATATTTATGTGAGTGAGTGATCCAGCATTCTACAAACAAAATGTGTAAAGCCAAATATGCTTTCAGTCCTTCGTTAAGGTTTGCCATAAAAGTTGCAGGCTCAAAAATTGATAGATTTTATCTCCCCTTCAGACATTCTAGGCCTTGCTTTACACAAAGAATACCCAACATGCCAGTATACAATAATGCAAGAGCTTTTGTATTTCTTCCAAATCAGAACAACTTACGAGCAGCTTTGATGACAGCTGGATGGGTTTCGAAGGTCACAAGAGGAATGGGCAGCAATCTCAGGTATAGTTTCAATGTGCCAGCGATCACATTAATGTTTTCATACATTTCTGATCCCACATCTGCCTGATCACCATCTGTAAGATGCAAATATTTCACCTTAGGAATCAAGTGTGGTGAATTTTTTTTCATCTCTTACATTTAAAACAAAATGGTCAGCAGTGTTCAAATCCAAAATATATTTAGAATAATCACAAATCCCTTGTCGTTAACATGCCCTAATGAGCTATCTAAGCACGGATGAAACCGTGCTGTCAAAGAATTTTGCTTTTGGATATTATTTTGCAATTATGGATTCTGTAGTTTATTTTATAGACCTTACTATACAAATAAGCAAAGAGACTTAGGGTACCTGTCTCAAACAAGTCAATCTCTTTTCTGTTTGGTTCATTCTGTTTGAAGTGAATCAGACAAGGCATAGTCTTAGCAGTGACATCCTGCCTCATGACTCCCAGACGTTATTACTTTAGTCCCAAGTTGTCTTTCCCTGAAAATCCCTTTCATTGAATTTACATTATCTTACCAGGGTTTCCTTCTTTAAACTGCGATTTTAATTTGCAGTACACTCAATTACACTTGTCAGTGAATACCAGAGTTGAGTGTTCATGTACAATATGCCCTCAGTTCAAAACTTAAAATGAAGATCAGTTATCCTGACTGAGGTGTGAGGTTCTCACAGTAGTGAAGATGTTGACTGTAGTCTCGTATGTTATGTCATCAGGTGGCCTTGTAGGTGGTTACCAGCATTTTAAGGTGGCGACTGACTTGTAACATTTGCCTGTAATGTAACGTGTTACAAATCGAGCATTACACAAGTGAAGACAGCGAACGGAGCCGCTCGATGCGAG